AGTTGACCAAAATAGATTTACTGTCAATGATTTTACAGATCTTGAGGACCTCAAGGAGAATGTTTTTTCTGCTGTGTGTAAGTTTCTAAGAGCTGTTTTCATTCATTGAATATAAGCTCTCTGTTTCCCTAAAGCTCTTTATTTGAAGTAGAGTTTGTATGTTTCTTAACCTCGGCGTATGAAGGGATGGTGTGGTCAGCACTATGTCCAGCCGCATTTACTTTCCCCAACGGTAATCTGGTATTCATAAGCATTAGATGGACACAGGGACGTCCTGCATTCCGGACCGAGATCCAAACCCCAGACCTTCGGGCTAGTATGTAAACGCACTACCATTCGACCACGCCGTTCCATTAAAAAGTAAACTAACCTTTGGAGCCTGAGGTTCTATGGGCAGGGGAATTGGATTTCACCTGTTTCAGTGTCCACGTCATATGAAGGGTTAGTCTCAGATTAATTCAAACATTTCCAATTTAAACAAAAACAAAAACCACTCTAGTTTGAAAGAAAAAAATATCTATATATATAATTCTCTTCATGGAGACCATAGAAAACACAACGCAGCTTAGCCACCACCCTCATCCTCACCTCACGTATACTACGTCGCGGGTCAGCTCGTATATTTTATTACAACTCTGCGCATAATTGATATATTTGTTTCTCACAAGTAAAAACTGTCAATGAAAAACGAAGTGAAAGAAAAGATTGTCCGCCAGAACCTGCTGCCGTGGTACTGGAGGTCGGGACCAAACCATCTGGTGAGGGCTATTTCGTCTGCTCACTGTCAGAGTTTCTACCAGAAGGTGTGGACATCTTGTTTACATTGTACGTAGAGGGAGAAGTTGAACATCTCAACAAGATGATAAATTCATCAGTAAAAGAGGGACTTATTCCATTTACTGACGTCAATCGAGCTTTGTATAACAAAAGGGTAAAAAGTTTGAAAACTGTTTATGATAAATAATAATAGCAACGTTAAAAATATATGAGAAAGAAAAGTATGTTTCAGAAAGACTTTTTCTACTGTTATTATATTTTCAGACTTACTGTTCGGCTGTGGTACAAGATGTGACAAGTGGATCAAAGAATTGTCACGAAGAAAGCAGCAATGTTATCACTCCATCCATCATAGTAAGTTGCAGCTGTAGAGAAATATAACTGTTCTTGCTTTAACGAAACGTTTTTAACCATACAAAATACTTTGATTCGAAAATGGAAGGATATGTTTATAAAAAAAGTTTGGTAGTAATAACGCACGAAGTATTTCTTCTGCTCTTTACAAATCAATGTATTTTTTAATACAGTGTCCACAACAAACTACCTTAAGATTAGTTGAAGGTCAAGCTCCTGTAAATCTGGTTTTTAAATTGACTGCACCACCAGAACTTTACTGTGCTAGTAGACCAGGAAGTCCGTGTGATGTGGAGGTCGTCACAGAGATTATTCCAAGCAGTGATGAACTCAAGTAAGATTTACTGTAGGGTGTCATCCATTAATGATCTCACGCTTTTTAGACCATTTTTAAGATGAGTTTTAAGATGAGTTTTAAGATGAGTTTTACCTCCCCCATCTCCCCTCCGTCACACAATGTCACAAAAAGCCAACCAAGTACATCAGCACTCAAAATTACAATTTTAAATTATATTTCAAATTATAACATGTTGACTGAGGTCAGTCAACATAGAGTATATTATTCAATTTATATTACAATTTACAAAAATAGCGTTGGAAAATAAACGTTAAAGTAGTTATAAATTATAAGACAGATTAGTAATTATAGCGATATTTTTTAAAGTTAAATTAGAAGGGAGCTAACTCAGTATACGACGTTTTCCTGTTATTCCAGTTGTTCTAACACTGAAATCATACCTCAAGTTGTATTTGAAACTAAAAGCTGTGGCCAGAAATTTTCTCATGATGATTGGAAGGATGGAATCATTATTCCCGTGAAGGCAACAATAGACAGAATCATAGATGGGGACAGATATTTAACCATACAAAGCTACATTAAATTCAGTGGTGATGTAAGGCACTATCATAAACGTTTTATAAATTAAATTTTAAATGTTTGTAGAATGGGAAAGTTATGAATGCTACTTATGTTTTAATAACAGCTAAAAGCTTTATACATCAATGCATCAGTGGTTACAAAAATTCTAGCTTTAACTTAATCGCTTTTGAATGACTTAGAAGTAGATCTACATCCATAAATTTATTGTTTCTGTCATCTTGTAGCTAATCCCCCAGGAGAGTTGTGCTGATATACAAGCCACTGTTGTTGATAAGGACAGAACTTATATCTGCTATTCTGTCAATGATCCACATATTTCAACTTTTGATAAAAAGTAAATAAATTTCGAAACAAGTTTATTTAATATTACTAATACTATTCCATAAATTCTGAATTTAAGCTACGACACATTGCATACATAGCTATGTTAGTATCATAATTTGTTTTTTTTTTGGTATTTTAAAGTAGATTTTGGCACTTAATAACAAATGTACTCAGGACAAATGATCTCAGACAAAATATCTCAGACAAAATATCTCACGGACAAATGATCTCAGGACAAATGATCTCAGGACAAATGATCTCAAGGACAAATGATCTCACGGACAAAAGATACCAGGACAAAATATATCAGGACAAATGATATCATGGACAAATGATCTCAGACAAAATATCTCAGACAAAATATCTCACGGACAAATGATCTCAGGACAAATGATCTCTGGACAAATGATCTCAAGGACAAATGATCTCACGGACAAAAGATACCAGGACAAAATATATCAGGACAAATGATATCATAGACAAATGATCTCAGACAAAATATCTCAGACAAAATATCTCACAGCAAAATTTTAATAGTATGTACGATGATTTTAGTTGAATTGAACTTTTTTTTAAAAATTGACTGTTAATATGGTTTTGTTTACTTTTTTACGAAGAAAATTGTGAATACAGTGAATTTGTTAAGCTTAACAAAGCATCAAAAGATTTATTAAACTTAACCTTTGTAATAGCATTTGATTTGAAAAAGTAAAAATTGAAACAAAATTACACCTTTAGCCTGAAAGGTACAGTAAACAAATAAAGTAACGGTAGCTATACAACATTAATGTTCAAAAACACGCGAAATATTTTTTTTTAAAATGTGAATAGGTCCTCATTTTCATAACAAAAAACTATTGTTTTTATTGGATCACCAACACAAACATAACGTTTACGTTTCTTTGCTGGCAGGTATGATCACACCTCTCTAATACTATGTGAACTCTTGCGCGACATTTTCTAACTGCACATTTCGAAATCTTTTTGCCTTCTGCTCCACTAATGGCTTTTATAAATTCACCAGATAACAAAAGAGGCCATAGCTGAGTAATCACCACTAATACTGCTTTGTTTGCATGCACACTACACACACTTAGCTCCGTGATGACCGCTGTAGTTTAAATAAGCATTGTCGCCTGATCACTAAGGTGTGACCGACACATAACTATTGACTGTTGATGCTAGTTGTATTGTCCATGGAGGGCGGATGTCTTTCCCTTAAGGCATGTCTCTGCCATCAAAACAGGCGGCCACCTTGATACGAATGAGTGTCTTTATTGTTATTTCATGGTAGGATTGCTCATTTTTGGCAAGCCCACCTACGCTGTCTATTGAAAAATTTCTTTAACCTCGAATACTATATTAGTAATCTCAATTTTAAAATCTTTAGTGCAATCTGACGAATGTATATAGGCCTATAAACAATATTTAACATAGTAAACAAAACCGTATGAAAGTCTATTAAAAAAAGTCACATCAACTATCAAATACACTATTACAATTTTGCGGTGAGATATTTTGTCTGAGATATTTTCTCTGAGATCAATTGTCCATGGTATCATTTGTCGTGATATATTTTGTCCTGATATCTTTTGTCCGTGAGATCATTTGTCCTTGAGATCATTTGTCCTGAGATCATTTGTCCTGAGATCATTTGTCCGTGAGATATTTTGTCTGAGATATTTAGTCTGAGATCATTTGTCCTGTCACCGTAAAATGTTATAAACAATATTGTAATGGTATAACATCATTATTATCCTACGTTAAAATTTAATTTTTTACTTAACCTACATTTTCCCAGTTACTATGACAACCAGCTATCAGGTGACTTCATTCTCTACAAACACAAGACACTTCCTTATCAGGTGAAAGATGTTGTAAATTATTTACACTTGTATCCTATTTAAATACATAAAACTTTTATCCTATAAACATGCAGAAAAAAAATTAGCATTTTCTTAATTCAAGTGAATTAATTCATGATTTGATATTTAGTTTCTTGAAAGCCTAGTAGTTGGGTAAAAATTATCATTTGACAGCTGACATTTAGTACAAAAAGTGTGGCAATATCGTAAGCTGCTTGCAAACTTGTAAACAGTTGAAAAATATTAAAATTCTATTACAATTAAAAAGATTAAATACACCAGTTAAAAAAAATAACACATTTTTGATTAAATTAAGTTACAACAGCTAAATCTAAACTAACAGGTTCAGGTAAATTTCCGCCCATGCTCAGCATCACCACTTGCCACCTGCAACTGTAAAACTGCGATACAGTCAGGGGATGATGTCATTGTATTTAAGTGAGTTTTTATTTTTTTATTTTAACATAAATTAAGAATTGCATATTCACTTTTTGCATTTACTAAAAAATAGTGTGCTTTTTTCAATTTTATAACTATTCTTTAAATGTATCATTATTTATGCAAATAAAAGGTTAATAGCTTGAATTATATATGTATATATATATATATATATATATATATATATATATATATATATATATATATATATATATATATATATATATATTGTTACAATTTTTCTAAAATTGGATTTTAAAGTTTAACTTTTTAAAAATTTCCACTAAATTTTAAATCATTTTCAATTAGGCCTCTACACAAAAAACAAATTAATTAAAAAAAAAATAATAATTTGAATTTAGTTCTTGTGATGCCAAACAAAACCGTCTACGGTCCAATGCTGCAGCTCTGAATGTCCAGATTATTCAAAATGGGGAGCTAACTCCTGGAACTAAGATAAAACAACTTGGTGGAGGTCAACAGTATGATGTAGGCTATTTCAACAATTAAAATAATAATTTAATATTGCTATCTATAAACACTATGATGTTGACTATTATTTGAATTATCAAAAATTATTATTTAATTTCAGTATCAATAAACAGTATATTTAAGGCTATTGCTTGTAATGTTAAAATCATGATTTAACTTCAGTAACTATAAACATAATATAATAAAATATTTTAGGTGATTTACTAAAATAGCACATAATGAATTTATTATAATGTAGCAAATTTGTTTTCTGTGTCTAAAAATATGATTACATTTTCATTAATCAATGAGCACATGTGTTTCAGGTTCTTCTACCAACAGGAACTGTTGTGTCTGTGATGCCTAGCATGTACACCTTCATGAACATTGTTATTACAGCATCACCATCTGACTTTAATGAGACAGAAGGTGATACACATTTTATCAAACCACATGCCTCTGTGTGTCTGAAAGTCTTACTTTAACTAGTCATATTTTAATTATCTTTATATTTTTTTGTAAATTAAATATAAGTTTCATATTGAATTGTGTTTAATTATAAAGCTGGGCTGTGTTTTAATTATTTTGAAATTATGACTGAATAGTTTATCCTAGTTTCTGGAAACTAATTTTATCGTCACATATAAAACACAGATGTGATGGGAGATATTTTCTTGCTACAATATTTTACTAAATGTATTGTTGTCACAGGTCTATGTGGCAATTTTAATGGTAGAACAGATGATGATATGGGCAATTTGAATGAAGAAACATTTAACTTGCATTGGAGGTTAGTGCAAATAAATGTTATTTTTACTTTAAAGTAATGTAGTTTTTCCCCAATCAAATTAATTATTAAAAGTTGAGTATATAAAATGTGATATTAAAAAGAAATTAAAAGAAAAGTTTAAACTGAATCATTTGGACATACATGATTCAACAAAAAACTGTTTTTTTTTAAACAGAGCCAAAACAACCATCTACTGTGGTGTGCCAGCACACAATGATCCTGAACCAGCAACATACAGCAGTTGTACTCAAGGCTTTACACCCATCTCTAAACCTGGACTGGATGTTTCCAGATGCTCATCTGATAGTAAAAATAAATATTTTTTCTTGAGTGTTCTAAACTAATGTTAAAAGCAGTTAAGTAAACCAAGCATGTATGTTTCTCGATGTTTATCTCCTATTAAAAAATAATTGTTCCTGCACTTTCTTAACATTATAAACAGTACACAAAATAGCTGTCACAAAATGAACCAAATCTTTAGGACTTTAAAATTTGTTTTTGGTATTTTATTTCACTATTAGATAATGATATAACAAGTGCTCTTAAGCTCCAATCCATGACTAGCAGCAGTTGTACCCCAGTACCACGACCCATCCCTGGCTCAGAAGCTTCTAGGAAAAAAAGACAACTTACTAACTCTTCTGAATGGGTATGTTTTTTTTTTGTCTATTGCATTTTCAAATCTTTTTAATAACACTAAATAAAACTTTGAGGTTTCCAAGTCCCGGTTTTTTATATGAAATAAATATTATAAACCAGCGCCTTCTAATAAAATGTAAATCTATAGGTCTAATGTAGAATTGTTAATTTACAATTAATTGAATTTTGTTTTATGAACTGGTACTAATTTTTGGAATATGCTTGCAGTAGTTTAATGCATGCTTTTGTGAGTAGGCCTATATTTTTTTTTAATTTGACCAATAATGCATATGTTCGAGCTTAATCTAAATGTGTCCATTTTGTATAGCCTCCTAATCATAAGTTTTTCTGAAGAAAAATTAATAATTGTTATTGGTATGTCTAGAGGAAAGTCTCTTTAACAAACTAATAAAGCTATACATATATGGATCCTCATAACATGACTAGAAGAAAAGAGGTTAGCTTGCATTTTAATTAAGAAGCAGTTGTGTTTATAAACAAAAAGGAGCAAGTCAAACTATTTCTGTAATGATTTTTTTATATCGGATCCTATAGGTATAAGTGGAAAATACTTAAAGATAGGCCTAAACAATTTATATTTAACAAATGTATATTTAACATTATTATAGTGAAACAAAAAATAAAATAAATAATATTTTTTAATATAGCAATATTTTAAGATGAAATTTAGAGTTTCATTTAGTTTAAAAAGTATATCATTCTTAGACCACAGGTGCAGTTAACTACACATTTGCAGAAGCAGAGAGAAACTGTTCAGATTACTTGAAGAACAGCAGTACAGTCAAAGCCTGCACAAATCAACTTTCAGATGACAGAGTTAAGGAGAGTATCACCAACTGTGCTTATGATCTGGTGGTAAAAATATCAATTTCTTTTTCATGCTAATGTTCTAGCAGTTTAAAAATGTTATAAATTAAAATTTCATCAACAACAGAGCACAGGGCTGTTTGACTCGGCTTTGTCACATGTTAGTTCTAGCAGTTTAAAAATGTTAGAAATTAAATTTTCCTAAACAACAGAGCATAGGACTGTTTGATTGGGCTGTGTCCCATGTTAGTTCTAGCAGTTTAAAAATGTTATAAATTAAAATTTCATCAACAACAGAGCACAGGGCTGTTTGACTGGGCTTTGTCACATGTTAGTTCTAGCAGTTTAAAAATGTTAGAAATTAAATTTTCCTAAACAACAGAGCATAGGACTGTTTGATTGGGCTGTGTCCCATGTTAGTTCTAGCAGTTTAAAAATGTTAGAAATTAAATTTTCCTAAACAACAGAGCATAGGACTGTTTGATTGGGCTGTGTCCCATGTTAGTTCTAGCAGTTTAAAAATGTTATAAATTAAAATTTCATCAACAACAGGCACAGGACTGTTTGATTGGGCTGTGTCCCATGTTAGTTCTAGCATTTTAAAAATGTTCTAAATTAAATTTTCATCAACAACAGAGCACAGGACTGTTTGATTGGGCTGTGTCACACGAAAGCAACCTGGCAGAGGAGTGTATCACACGAGCTGAACAAAACCAAAGTTCATGGACAGGTGTAGGTGAAACACCTGGTGAACCTGTACTTCCTCAAGCCATTGTCACCCAGCTGTGTGTCAGGGACTGTGGGGACAACGGACATTGTGTCAACTGTAATATGACTTAAATATTTATTAAATTATGATCAGTAGCCATATATAAAAAACCAAAACATTCAAAATAGCTGTACTAAAGATAAGAATTCACTTAAATGAAGATTTTATTTTGTTGTAGTTAAATTACAGTATATTGTTTTTTTATAGCTTATTGCAGATGTAAGGACGGCTACTTTGGTGAAAGTTGCCAGTTTGGACCCAACACTGTGCCGCTTATTTTTGGAGCAGAGAAAACTTGTAATATTCAAGAATCTTCTTGTGAAACAGTCAGGATAGATGGGGATTTTTTCACATCTTCTGATAATCTTGCTTGCCATATAAACTTTGCTGCGGTAAGAAAAACAAAATTAAAGCTACCCATTCAGTCCATTGGCAGATGAAATAGGGTTCACCTGTTTCTTTGACTTCAGCATGTGAATAGTGTGGTCTGCACTATATCCAGCTGCCTGGATTCTACAAACTCATGCCATAGAGACATGAAGGAATATTTTAATTAATTTTGGAAAACATGTATCTACTCAGTGCTACAGTACTGCATTTTTTTTCAGAACATGGCAAATATAAATAAATGGACTTTTTTGTTCACTAAAGGTGGACACACGTGCAAGAAAAACAGAGAGCAGTGCTGTAGTGAGAGCAGAGTACATCAGCATTTACCAAGTTGGATGTACACTCCCTACACGACGCAGTGCCTACATCACCGTCACAAACGATGGCGTCCATCAGAGTGAAAATGTTTACCTTCATGTTGTCCACAACTCCAGCTGTCAGACTTGTGTCATCAATGACAACAAAACTGATGTTGACTGTCACATGATTGTAAGTTAACAAAAAGCATAAACACTTTAATACAATTCAGAATTCCCACAATGATATCCAATACTGTCGTTCTTTGGAATCTTTTTAACAGGCTATTTGTGGCTTTTATCTATGGCAATGAAGTTATTCTATCTGGCCAAATAATGTTCCCTCTATGGTCAGAGTTTGAAAGCTTCTATAAAATATTATATGCATTTTGAATTGACATTACGTCATCATTTCACGTTCACATCCACATATACTAATTAATTTATATTTGATTTCTGTTTATGAACATAAACATATTTTTAATATTAACAAAATGTGTAATTATGCAAATTCCAAAACCTAGACAAATGTGTGTGTGATAGAAGGACAATGCTACTTACAACAGCAAGAAGACTCTGTGGATTCTTGCAACATCTGTAATCTTGATAGCAGCAACACTGTATGGACCAGGAAAACTGGTAACACTTTTGTTTAGTATCACAAACAGTGTTAGTATTATAAAATTATATCTTTAGAAGTAAAAAAAAAGCGATTTCAATGTACATAAGGATACAGACATATATGAATAGTATTATATGTTTGCATTATTTTAGATCGCATAATATATATGTAACAATTTAGCTAAACAATATAAAAAAGGAACATATTTATCTGTTTCTATCTTCTTATAGATTCAGCATGCAAGGAAGGCTTGTCTAATAAGGCCATCATTGCCATCAGTGTTGGTTGTGCTGTTTTTGGGTTGCTTCTCATCCTAGTCGTCATCATAGTTATCCTTAAGAAAAAGAGGTGAGGATTTTGGCAATTTTTAGAGTTCAATGTAACATTACCATTAAACTGATATTATATAAAAACTTTTTCAAAATATTTTAGAATTTCTGCTAGATGTAATATTAATTAATCCAAAATTGGAGTGAGATATCTATTAGAAGGTTTTTGAAGCTCATACTAAAACATTTTCACAAAATAAAATTTTGAGCCGAAACGATTTCAGTCTTTATTTAGAAATTATTAGCTCAAGAGAATTGCAATTATTTATTTAATTTTTGAAAATATGTTGTTTTTTTTAATTAGAAAAAAATATAATATCAATTTAATATGTTTTATATTCAACAGAGCAGGGAAGTCAGCTGTTTCTTTTTCTTCTACTGTGAAATGAAATCAAAAAGCTTTTTACCGATTGTTTTAATTTTATTTATTCATTTTTAACAATATATTAATTTTGACCAGTTTTAAAAATAATAATATGTTGTATGCAAGAATCATCGTAAAGTTTTGCCCTTGCAACGAAAATAAAATCAAAAATTTTTTATTAATTATTTTTATATTTTTATAAAGACGTATGCAATAAAAATAATAAATATAATATAATAATAATTTTTAAATTGATAATGACAAATTGAAAATAAAAATGAAAACAAAAATATTTTTTTTTTACAATTTAAAAAAAAATTATATACTGATTTTATTTGGTAAATGTTTTTATGCCTTTAAAAGACTATCCTTGTATGCAAATTCATAATAAATATAATCAAATAATAATTTTAATAATATATGTGTCTAAACAGTCTCCACTTTTTTATTTGACACTTCAACTTTTAAATAATTTCTTGACCCAAGACAAATTTGCTAAATTATTTAAAATTGTGCTTACGCTGAAAACATTTTCTTTTCAGTTATTCTCATTCTTTATTATACCAGTTTTGTTTATTAACATTAGAGTACTAGGGTGCGTACTATTTTGTGCTCTATGCTTAAGGTTTATTTTATACTTAAATGTAGATTGATGTCTAACAAATTCTATATTTACACTGTATTTTAGAGCAATGTGTGAACTGGTAGGCGTGGGATGGGTGTGGGAGAGGTCACCGAGAGGGACTTCACAATTTTACATTTTGTGTATTCTTAAAAGTAGGCTATTTGTAATATTATATCATTGATCGATGTACTTGTGTTGACACAGCTCATGTTAACTGGTAGGCGTGGATTGGGGGTGAAGAGAGGCCAAAGATAGGGACTTCACAATTTTTACATTTTGTGTATTCTTAAAAGTAGGCTATTTTTAATATTATATCATTGAACGATGTACATGTTTTGACACAGCTCATGTAATAGGTCTTCTTGATATAAAATTACCGCTTCCAAAATTGCTTTTTATTTTTGACTGTTTCGCTTTAAAATAAAAACCATTAAGAAAATGTGACGGCAATAACCACTTTTCAACTTTTTCCTCGCTTTCCTTAAAAAATTTTTTTCTAAAATACCAGTGCAGGGCCTGGTCGGAACGGTTAATAAATTGTATTGAAAAGACTAACTAGTGTTAGCGACCGCATCTCCCTCCCACAAGAGGAAGTTGCAAGTTATCCTTCCCACACGGAGAAAAATGCCTGAAAGAAACACAGTCTATTATGTTAATGCTATTAAGTGATAGCATGCCCTGACATGAAGGTAATGTAACAATGATCTTGAACCTACAAAAGATACAGTGACCGCGCCCCCCCCCCTCCTCAGAGTTTTATCATCAGACTTCCCTCTACTCTCTGTACTATGTAGCCCAAGGAATACGCAATAGTGAATTACAGCAATGAACTACTTACCCTTCAATATAAAGCATCACATTTTGTATGACACTATTTAACAAAAGAATTGTGAAAATATAAGTTGCTTTTTATGTGGATTTCTTTTTTTTTCCCTTATTTCCGCGACAAGCACCATGGTCCACATTGGCTTGGGTGTAAAGATTTTTATAGAAAATCTCTCAATACAGTTTCAATATTTAGAAAAGGAGTGCCAATCTTGAATTTTAATTTTCTAGAGATATTTTACTGAGAGTGACGGGAAGGTGGATGAGGGGGGGGGGGGGAGGGGTCAGGGGATTCCAGTCTGTTTCCCTCGCGATGCGTTCCTCGCAGTAAAAATGCAATAACGTCCCATGCCCTAGTGAGAGGTTTATAAAAAGAACAGCATGGTTTGTCAAATTAAACAAAATGTAAGACCCGTGTCATACCAGTATGCATGCAGTGGATATCATGCTCATCGTCCAAGAAAAACTTCAAAATTTAGAGATGTAGGTATAGTCCTTTTTAGGATAATAGAAGCTATTGTAAAATATCGAACAATATGAAATTTATTGAACAAGTTTATTGTTTATACAGTTTATTGAACAAGTTTATTGTTTATACAGTTTATTGAACAAGTTCAATAAACTGTAAAGATTGTATAATAGTGTTACAAAAAAAGTTTCCAAACACGTTACATTTTGTCAAGTGTACAAAAAAAATGGTGTCGTTCTGTACAGAACATCATTCAATAACACATGTTACCATAGACAAATAATCTCAGACCAAACCAACAATAACACCTAGATCTACGAGTCCTGCTAGAGGTGAATTGTATATACAAACCCTAAATATTTGTGAAAACTCACATATAATTTCCTTTACTTTTAGCAGCTTTAATTTTATGTATATGTTTTTTTTCCGACTGATGCACCTATTTGTAAAATTATATTTTTTGAAACCACATCTACTTATGCCATATTAATTTATATTTTCTTTGGGAGATTGAAAAAAAAATGTTTTTGGCATTTTTAGGAAAATTGTTTTTAATTAATAACAAAAATGTTAAAACACAAAATACATCCAATCTTTAGTAAAGTCAAAAAAAAAAAACACCTTACAATCAAGTGATTAGATAACATTTATTTTAATAACTTTGCATACGCTTTTAAAAAATATTGAATTGAACATTCGAAACTTTCCCCGCAAGCTAAGCAGTCAAAGGGAAATAATAAGCAGAAACATTATGTTTCTCTACTACTAGATTACTGTAGCCTATGTGCCCACACAAAAAAGTTATCGATTTTTGAAACTCATCGTGTGGTGTATAAGGTGAAGCTAAACATCCCTTCAAACCTGAAGGCCCATGCAATGGGTCGCACTATGCCTAGAGTTTCTACTTCTCGCGACTCGAGTACAGTAGCCAAAAAATACGTGGATTCACTGACCAGATAAGGATTCAAACCAGAAAAATTACTATTCGACCCAACCGCACCACAGTTTTGAACCGAGTTTCTTTGAGGCATCTCCTCGGAGGTAAGGGGGGGGGGGGGTTATCCCAGTGTTCGCCTATCCAGAAATTTTAGTCCGCCCCCCACTAAATGTATGTCGGTGTTTTCAAAACAGCAGTCAGCCAATCCCATATTGCCTCTAAAATGAAATGGCGCTAGTTCCGGGTTGTTGTATGTAAACGCATTATACCTTAGCGTGAATGACGGAGCACTTGAAAAGGAAAAAAAAGAGAGTTGCGAATCGCCATCAAATCTCATCATACAAGAATTTTTATATAAGTTATCTGAGTGAACCAAAAGAATTAGATACAAAAACACATGTGCTGTAAAGATTACAGAATAACTGCCAGATATTAATAGTATAGTGTTGTCAGTACTATGGCTAGCCGCCATTACTTTCCCTAACACAAGTCAGGTACCCATCAAGGCAGGGTGGACTCAACATTGTCCTACTATTTCATGCTCTGGATGTTGAGAGTTAGCAGTCGTACATTCTACAATCCGACCACGCGGTGCTCAGCTTCAGCTTAAACTACATCTCACAAACATCACTGGTCATATTCTCAGTACTTAAAATCTTAACTTTTGCAAAGAGCTAAGTCCTAAGCCATATAATAAATCTCCGCTAGGCTCATTTTTTTCCATAAAGAATTGACCGTTAATTAAAACTAAAACCTAGATCTACATTTTGCGAATCTTTAGCATATAACTTAACGCTGTAGAATACGGAAAAGAAGTACAGAAATCAGACTGCTATGTGGAGGTTAAACATCAACAGCCAGTGATATATTCTGGATGGGGATTGTTAGACCCCACCCGTGTCCTTAGATCCCCAAAACGACAGCTGTCCCCAGTTATTTTAGGAACTTGCAATTTCAAAATTGTGTAAATTACAGGCACATCTTTTCGTGGTAAATATATATGAATCCCATACATATAACAAATTTCTTCACACCTAGCTGTGAACGCCTGACATGTCTATTCTAGCAACATACCCTTAATGTCGCTTTTCTGGGGAAACAGATATTCTGTGAATGTTCATCGAAAAAAAAAACCTCGCCTATCTATCGAGTTGTTAAGTAATCTTGTCGTCTAACCGGTTTATCTGTGGGGAGACTTGTAGGGGAGGAGGGAGGTATAGAAGAGGAGGGGAGGAGTTAGAGGAACACAAGGAAAGCAACAAGATAGAGAGAGACAGGGATAGGAGAGTGAAGAGGAGAAATACAGTTGGCGAGACAAAAAAAATTGCGATAATAATTTGTAAGAAATGTATTGAGAAATGTATTTAGTGAATACATGGAAATGATTGTAGACAGAACATAAAAGGGAATTAGAAAAAAAAAGACATGAGAAAGAAGATTATTGGTGTCCTGTTGTTTGTTTGTATAAATCCTTTTATCCGAGTTGTCAAATGTGAAATGTGTATGTGTATGCGTATGCGTATGCGTATGCGTATGCGTATGCGTATGCGTATGCGTATGCGTATGCGTATGCGTATGCGTATGCGTATGCGTATGCGTATGCGTATGCGTATGCGTATGCGTATGCGTATGCGTATGCGTATGCGTATGCGTATGCGTATGCGTATGTGTATGTGTATGTGTATGTGTATGTGTATGTGTATGTATTTGTGTTTGTGTATGTGTATGTGTATGTGTATGTGTATGTGTATGTGTATGTGTATGTGTATGTGTATGTGTATGTGTATGTGTATGTGTATGTGTATGTGTATGTGTATGTGTATGTGTATGTGTATGTGTATGTGTATGTGTATGTGTATGTGTATGTGTATGTGTATGTGTATGTGTATGTGTATGTGTATGTGTATGTGTATGTGTATGTGTATGTGTATGTGTATGTGTATGTGTATGTGTATGTGTATGTGTATGTGTATGTGTATGTGTATGTGTATGTGTATGTGTATGTGTATGTGTGTGTGTGTGTGTATGTGTATGTGTGTGTGTGTGTATGTGTATGTGTATGTGTATGTGTATGTGTATGTGTATGTGTATGTGTATGTGTATGTGTATGTGTATGTGTATGTGTATGTGTATGTGTATGTGTATGTGTATGTGTATGTGTATGTGTATGTGTATGTGTATGTGTATGTGTATGTGTATGTGTATGTGTTTGTGTTTGTGTTTGTGTATGTGTATGTGTATGTGTATGTGTATGTGTATGTGTATGTGTATGTGTATGTGTATGTGTATGTGTATGTGTATGTGTATGTGTATGTGTATGTGTATGTGTATGTGTATGTGTATGTGTATGTGTATGTGTATGTGTATGTGTATGTGTATGTGTATGTGTATGTGTATGTGTATGTGTATGTGTATGTGTATGTGTATGTGTATGTGTATGTGTATGTGTATGTGTATGTGTATGTGCGGTGTGTGTATGTGTGTGTGTGTATGTGTATGTGTGTGGGTACGTGTACGTATACGTATATATATAATATGTATATATATATATATATAATATATATATATATATTATATATTTATATATATATATATATATATATCTATATATATAATATCTTATGTGAAGTAAATAGTTGGGTGTTTATGTTTTGTTTCTCAATATTTGCGCCCGGTCTAACAACTGTGACCTAGGTCTTATCCCATAAGGGCCCATGATGTTTTGTTTCTCAATATTTGCGCCGTCTAACAACTGTGACCTAGGTCTTATCCCATAAGGGCCATGGCCTTGGCCTAGATTTCCATGGCCAGGTCCTAATGTGGCACGACGGGAATTCCAGCGTTAAAGTAAAAGAGAAATTACTGTTAAAAACTCAATACTAAAAACTTAAGCGGTGTGCGGGTAAATAGGAAGTTGTTTGTGGTAGAATTGCGCTGCTGGAGCTAGGGGTAAACTAGTCGCAGTTTAGTAGTCTACTTAAGTGGGGGGAAAACACATTCTAAATGTATTTAATAATAAAGTAATAATAAAAAACCTAAAATGAGAAACTTTTAAATAAACTAAAAATAAGAAAATCAACATAATAATAAAAAAAATAATAATAATTCTTAGATGTGCTGTGTACAACATTTATAGAAAAGCAATCGGTTTTACAGATCGGCCTATTTGTTTTTCAAGCTAGTCATAAGTCTAGTTTAGAGTTCAATGAACATAAGTATTTTTTTGTTAACATTGATGTGTGGGGGAGGGGTGGTTACGATCGGACGTTGCAGCCGCCAGGAGAAAGCCGCTAAGAGTAGTAGAAATAGGAAGTGGATATGCCATTGTTTCTTCCAGACTTTTTTCTCGTGGGGTGGGGGTGGACTACATTTTTCGGGAGGGGAGTGGACACTGGTGAAAG